GACCAGAATAACTAAATATATTAGTGAGACAACTAGTCACACAGAATGGTGGAAATAACTCACAAGACAATAGATGTTTCAAGTGTAACTTGACATATTGCCAGCAACTGCAGATGAAACCCTGTATGGAATACAAATTCTTCCCAAGGAATGTCATGAAAACGGAAATGTTATAGAATCCTGGCCATTACAGCCAAGACTATAAAGAATCAACAGGTGATAATAAACCGAGAAGACAGTGCCATTTGGATGAGTTTCATAGCTGAGTCAGATCAACACAAAAAAAGAGCTAATCAGGCATTGAAAAACACACGAATTAGCTGGATTTATGTAACAGAGTTTAGCTGAGGACACTCCATCTGTACCAAATAAGATATGAAGATCATTATTTAAAGAAACCAGTCCATGAATCAATGAATATATTGATAGGAAGCCTTGCAGTATGTTGATTGACACTAGTTTTATAGTTATAATTGTTTGATCCAATTTGGTAATGAAAGCTGAGAACTTACCTTCAGTGATGAAGATAGAAGATGGAAGCTTCTCTACATATCATAATGTGTGAGGAATTGACATCGAGGAAGAGTTTTTATTAGAAATTGACTTCATGTGAAGACGTGGTTGCGAGTTTAGACTAGCTTCACATATCTTCACTGTCTATGACCACGAAGTCACCTTGCACTACATGTCAATTATTAAGCCAGAGGCTGAACTTCCAGGGTTAACAAAGAAGGTACTTATTGTACCACTAAGAAGTAAAATATTATACTAGGACTTATTAGGAATAGATTTACACCTAGAATCTGGGCCGTAGTAGAACCAAATACTGCAGTATGTTTTAGTAGGATTAATAATTGAAAAAAATTCACCTGGACTTAAATAATAAACATATCATCATTAGGGCTATGAACGAAACAAACCATAGAGTTTGAGTCATGTCTGGTTAGAGCATTGCAAGACATGAAGCTGTATAGGTATTACTTCCACATCAGAGAAAATCAAAGTAGTCAAATCTTCATATAAAGACATCTTATCACCTGTGGAAGTCTTACGGCTGATCAATGCGTTGATTACATGACTTGCTTAGAAAATATCGAGATATCTTCTTCAGTGGAACTCATAACTTATTAGGATATTGTAGATGAAGCCACAATATGTCGGTTAGCCAGATGCCTCCCACTTTCGAAGTAGGCTGATGCTTTTCAGATATAAAAAAGCCATAAAGGATCAAGAAGTTTTAGTATCAATCACTAGCCCTTGGGGATCACCTATTGTACTTGAAGATGATGGATGGATCCACAAGGTTCTGTGGGCTACCAGAAGATGGATGAAGTTGAAATGAAGAATACTTACCCACTGCCAAAGATTGACTCATTCGGATGCTCTATATGGATCAAGATGGTTTTCAACACTGAATCTTAAAAGCGGATATTGGCAAGTGCAAATCGACAAAGCAAGTAGAAAGAAGACAGTGATTATCCACCGTGATCGTCTATAGAAGTACATCACTGAGAGAACAATAGCCTGGGTAATTCCAGAGAAGAAATTGCCAGTAGAAAGTTACCCTGCTGAAAAGCCTGGATTTCCTGTCCAGACCACTTTCAAAGAATCACCAATGGATTCACTCGACTACCTACCTAGAGAGAACTCCCCCAATGACACGACAACAAGTAATAATAAAGAGTAACAGGCATTTCATCTATATACTCAAGCCCACGGAAAAAAAAAAACACACCAAAAGTTTGTTGAATGGAAATTTCATGAAAATTTAGAATCTAAAAATTTCGTGTAGTATGAAGAAATGAGAATACAATATAAATACTAGATTCCGTGAATTATTGAGTCAATAAGTGAATCTGTTAAGAGCCACTCAATGAGTTACTCAATTTTGTAATTGACCAATTAATGATGAATTCTGCAAGTAAGTTTATTCGTAAGTTAGGTTTATCCATTAGTTTTAGAATTTCTATTCCAACATGGTTTAGGAAGTTAGGCCTCCAAGTGAAAATAGCCTGTAGCGAGTCCTAAAGAAGAAATAAACTAAATTTTTATAATTACGCAGACTGGACTTGGCGTTATTTTTATCCAATATTCCAAATGGTAGAATACGTTACAACGATCAGTACAGATTGATACACGAAGTATTACAAAGTACAATTCACAGAATCAAGAGTTATGTATATCGATATATTTAAGTATTAATGAAAGTCTTCCAATTTTAAAAAGTCGAACGCAGGCGTTTTTGGATGTGGAAAAGCAAAAATTAAAATGTTGAAAGACGGTTTGGGAGTTTCCAATGAGTTTATAACAGGCGGGCGTGGAGGAAAGAAAAAATTAGTTTCATAAGAAGTAATAATACATCTGCTGACATGTGAAGTTCTCGTGCATTTTTATGCTGTGAACTATAAACTGTTTGTTTGTTACGGATTTCACGAGGGCTATCTGCGCTATCCGTCCCTAATTTAGCAGTGTAAGTAGTCATCACCACCCACCACCAACTCTTGGGCTACTCTTTTACCAACGAATAGTGGGATTGACCATCACATTATAACGCCCACACGGCTGAAAGGGTGAGCATGTTTGGTGTGACGGAGATTCGAACCTGCGACCCACAGATTGCGAGTCGAGCGCCCTAACCACCTGGCCATGCCGGGCCCACTATAAGCTGTAAGAAAATTATGGCAAAAATTAAATCAATATAAGTTAAACTGGAAAATATCGCAAATAGGTATATTTTACTGTCTTCTTGCTTTCTATTTGAGCCCCAGAAAATTATATATATATCCCCCCAAGACGCATTCTAAAACCGAAAAATATAATAGATTTAGGTGAAAGTTAGGTGAAACCTTCCCATGAATCACAGAGAAAATAATATTAGATACGTAGTAAATTTTCGAATTGTTTATTTTTACAGTTGGGGAAGGGGGCGTGTGTGCAGCTCTCCTCCATCTTCCTTAGCAAAACTATGTTACGATCAATAACTTTTTAAAATAATATTACATTTGGGCACACATGTGGTTAATATTATGAAAACTGAAGTAAGACAAACGATCAAAAACTATAATAGAATTATTCAGGAGAATATGCATAGAATCATTAGAAAAACTAAAACTGGAATCACCAGAGACTACTGAATCACTGGATAAACATCACGCTGGCTTTTCTATATGTTAGAAATTATTAATCTAACTAATTATTACCAACAATTATTCTATACGTACGCCACGAATTTATTTCAGGTATAATCTTAATTTTGATTGGCTCACAAAGGAATTTACCGACGTTTAACTGCCTCCACTGAATGTTTCTTCCTCTTTGTTGGTCAAGCTTGATTTCGCAAAATGTTTTAATTTCAGTTAGCTATGAAATGTGAGGTTAGGGTATACTGTGGGGTGGGGGTGGTAGTACTTGCCCCGTCATTTTTGACAGCTATACTCTAGTCTCAGTGGTAAATAATGAATCGTCGAACCAGTAAATAAGCACGTCGGTAGTAAATACTGAGATGTTGAACCAGTGAATAGGCATGTCAGTAGTAAATAACGAGATGTCAAACCAGTGACTAGGCATGTCAGTAGTAAATACTGAGACGTTGAACCAGCAAATAGGCATGTCAGTAGTAAATACTGAGATGTTGAACCAGCAAATAGGCATGCCAGTAGTAAATACTGACTTGTGAAACCAGTAAATAGGCATGTCAGTAGTAAATACTGACTTGTGAAACCAGTAAATAGGCATGTCAGTAGTAAATACTGACTTGTAAAACCAGTAAATAGGCATGTCAGTAGTAAATAATGAGATGTCAAACCAGTA